TTCTTTCTTTCTTTCTTTCTTTCTTTCTTTCTTTTTTTTTTTTTTTTGAGAGTTTTTTGCTATAGGGCACGTGTACTTGCCAGAAAGAGAGAGAGACAGAGAGACAGAAAGCAAGAAATCACCCCCCAGGGGGATGGCCATGCTGCAATCCCTTCTCTATTCTCCTCTCAGGATCTTGGGCATGCAGGCACATGCACCTGACGTGAGTTTAAGCCACCGGGTCCGGGACTCGAACTGCGGTTGACTACATGGGAGTCCAGTGACATAGCCATTATGCTATCTGCTGGTCTGGGACATTCATTTTCAAAAAGTCATATGGGCACTGGACTTTCAAACGTCACCTGCCCCCTCCCACTGAGCAGGCAGAGGTGGGCTCTGGGGGCCAGGTTCCTTCCCCGTCCAGACTTGGAGAGCGTGTGTCAGGGGGTGCTGCTGCTGGCACGTCCCCGGCCTGAACCTGGGGGCAGGGTGGCCATCTGTAGCCAGACCAGCTATCCTGCCACAGGGTTGACCGGCAGCCTTCTCTGGACAAAGGAAGTGTGAGAAAAGACCCTAGGATCTGCCTGCCACAGGACAGACTGCCCTCCATTGCCCCCCACTTCCCAGGAGCCAGGGTTCCACAGGGCTCTGGCCGCATCTGCTGGAGAAGAAGCCAGAGACCCACAGAGGGCAGCCCCTAGCGCCAGGACACCCTGGACAGCATCCATCCACCTCTAGGCCGGTGTCCAGCTTTTTCCCGGTGCCGCAGGGATCCGGGTGAGTCCCCGGGCTGGAGTCGGGCTCCTGGGGTTGCTGGGAACAGGCCTCAGGAAGCCCCCTCTGCCCAGCTGGCACTGCCATGGGCCCAGCAGCCACGGCTTGAGGAAGTTCTTTCTTCAGGGGTTTCCCGAGCTGGCAGCGGCCTTGTGAGTTCAGACTGGATTTTTCCTGCTGCCCTTTTGCCGGTGGCCTAGCCTGGTGCGGGGTCTCTCCTAATGAGGGTTTGGAGCCAAGGCCTGGGCAGCTCCATCCCGCTGCGCCCCAGCTGGTTCAAGCCTGCCTAAGGCAGCAAGCAGGCAGTTTCCCGGTCCGCCCCCAGGGCCAGGACACCTGGGGCCGTCCTGCCTCCACGAAGCCCTGCCCTGCCATGGACTGGCCCCCTCCCTCACCACCCAGGGCCCCCCATGTAGGGACTCACGGATGCACCTGTGTTCACAGTGGATTTTTACTATGGATAAAAAGATCAGCCCGACAGGGCACAGGGTCCCTGGACTTTTGGCCCCAGACTCAAGGTTGACAGTTGACATGGCAGCCTGGAGCCAGGGGAGGGCAGGGGCCCTTCCCAGGGCTTCCGTGGGGCTCGGCTGCCCCCAGCTCCCTGAAGCTGCTGGGGATGCACCTCACGTTGCCTCCTGCCGGAGGCCCTCTCTGTCCCACTTCCTGGGGCCTCATTAATTCCTCCCCACCTCCCCCGTGAGAAAGCAGGTCTGTGCTGGGCTTGGCCCAGGCCCAGAGCCGGCTCTGAGCGTGCCACTGGTGGTTGGGAGACAGGAGATGGGTGGGTGGGGGGTATGCCCTGTCCCCACCCTCCTCCCAGGCTAGGAAGCAGGGGACCTCCATTGCCATCCATGTCCTGGCCCCCACCCCGCTTTCTAGGAACCCAGGGACCATGGAAACCAAGAATATAAAACACAGCTGGTCTTATGTATAATATTTATAAAAGGGGCTGCCAGCCTCCCCACCCTGGCCCCAGTCTGGCCCCAGGTCTTCGGCCCCCAGGGGCAGGACACTCCGGGCCCAGCCCTGCCCCTCTCCCAGCAATGGAATGTGAGCCATGGCCCAGGCGTGGCGTGGGGGGAGTCCCAGCCTCCCCAGGACTGGAGGGACAGTGCAGAGGCCCCTTGAGGGTACTCGCTCCGGCCCCACCCTCAGCAGAACCTCTGGCCCCAGCTACAGGGTGGGGACTCCTCCTATGGAGGGACTGGGAGAAGAGGACAAGAGTGTCCGAAGGTCTGAGCCCAAGTGTCTGGAAGGGGCCCAGGGGCCAGAAGGGGGAAAGCGAGTGGGCTGGGGTGACACAGCCCCGGCTGTGACCCTGGCCTGCAGCAGGGTGCAGATGGCTGCAGGCCTGAGTTCCAGCTCCATGCGCCCTCCACAGGCTGTGTGACCTCAGGAGGCCTCTGCGGGGCCTCAGTGTACACATCTGTGCAGTGGGAGACAGGGGGCTCGGATGGGATCTGGGGTGACAGCCCCACCCTGCTCCCAGCTCAGGAAACCCCTGCAGGGCAGTGGGTGGCCCAAGGGCCTTGGTCCTGGTTCTTTAACAGAAACCGTCCACAGAGAGGGTGGAGCCGAATGCCAGGCCGACTGACCAATGCACAGGAGCAGGGGCTGGCGCGGGCAGAGGGGCAAGGACGGACGAGCAGACAGGGCCGCAGGGCCCACCCTAGTGGTTTCCTCCGTGCCGGTCGGTCCCCGAGACCCAGTCAATGATGATGAAGCTCAGGCTCATGGTCATCAGCAGGAGGCCGACCACCGCAAAGCAGAGGGCCTGGGGGCAGAGGTCAGGCTCAGGGCCAGGTTCGAGGTACGGCAGGCCCCAAGGCCCCGCCCCAGCCCACCAGCTTCCCGGCCCCACACACCAGGATTTTGGGGAGGGATCTCGAAGGCTCCTTCTCAGTGGGCACAATTCGGAAGTAGAAGATAGCAGGGAAGATGAAGATGAGGCATGGGGCGGAAGTGGCACCTGCAAAGAGCCAGGCGTGACCACCACGCACTCAGGGCCACCCCGCGGAGGTCAGATGTTCAGGTTTGGGGGGCTTCATCCCGAGACCCCACTTGACTGAGAGTTCTGCCTGTGTCTGGGGTGCCGCCCGTCTCTGCCCTGTCATCTGTCCACCAGGGTGAAAGGCCAGTGCTTTTGGTGTCAGACTGTCAGGGATGAGGCTAGCCAGGACTACAGTCAAGAGGTGGCAACAGATGAAACCTTAGGAATTTGGGGCGTGGGGCCAGCAGGTGGCGTGGTGGTTAAGGTGCTAGAATCCGCACGTGGCCGACTATGGTTCAAGTCTCAGACCTGGTAGCTTTCTTTCTCACTGTCCCTCTCTCTCTCTGTCTTTCTCTGGCAAAATCTCATGTGAAAAATAAATAAGTAAAATAAATAAAAGAATTCTTAAAAAAAAAAAAAAGAATATTAGGCATGGGCTAGCAGGTGCTGTAGTGGTTAAGGCAGTTGGACTCCCACATGCCGACCACGGTTCGAGTCCCAGACCAAGCGCGTTGAAACTCACACCGGGCACATGTGTGTGCATGCCCAAAATCTTGGGCATGCATGTACACACGCCCGGTGTGAGTTTTAAGCCACTGGGTCCGGGACACGAACCGTGGTCGACTATGTGGGAGTCTAGCGACATAGCCATTATGCTAACTGCTGGTTCTCTCCTGAAGGCTTTTCCATTATTTGAGCCCATGCGTTCCTTTCTGCTTAATTCTCTTATTTATTTATTTGAGAGAGTTTTGCTATAGGGCACGTGTGCTCACTGGAGAGACAGAGAGAGAGAAATCACTCCCCTGGGGGTGGTCACGCCGCCATCTCTTCTCCTCCGTCCTCCTCTCAGATTTTGAGCGGTGCACACACCCAGTGTTTCAAGCCTCTGGGTCTAAGGCTCGAACCTCAGCTGGCCACGTGGGAGATCAGTGCCTTGACCATTATGCCACCTGCTGGCCCCTTGTTTATTTATTTAAAATTTTTTGCTAGAAGGCACATGTGCTCTCCAGAGAGAGAAAGAGGGAAAGTGAGAGAATACCCCCTGTGGGGGATGGCCACGCCACAGTCCCTTCTCTGCTTTCTCCTCTCAAGATTTTGGGCACACACGCACATGCACCAAGCATGTTTCTCAAGCTGGTGGGTCTGGGACTTGAATGGCACGAGTCCTCTATGTGGGATCTAGCCACCCCAACTACCATGCCACCTGCTGGCCCTCTGCCTAATTCCTTTTTTTTTTTTAATTACATTTTTAATGTTTTTTGCCATAGGGTGTGTGCGCTTGCCAGAGAGGAGAGAGCTACAGAGAGAGATAGTGAGAAACCACCGCCCCCAGGGGATGGTCACATTGTAACCCCTCTTCCTCCATACCCCTCTCAGGATCTTAGGCACACATACACACATGTCCAGCATGATTTCCAAGCCAGCGGGTCTGGGATTTGAACTGTGGTTGGCCAGGTAGGAATCCAACTGAATTCTTTTTGAGCTGGATTTCAGGCATGTAGAACCGAGACTCCTATCCACGATTTCTATAATACTCTGCCCCAGGTCTGCGTGTTGGTCTCCCCAAGTTGGACTGGGTAGGTTACCCCAAAGATACTTCAGAATTGCCTGATCTTCCCACTCAGAGCCTCACTGGGTGGAGTAGTGGACGCTGCACCAAATCTGCAGTCCGGTACCCCGGGGCTGACTCCAGCTTCCTCACTCACAGCAGGTGTGGCCCTGCTGTGACTTTAATCACCCTGAACTTTAGTTTCCTCTATGTGACGGGAGATAAGACCCGCCGAGGTCATTGTGCAGGGCCCTGAGCCCTGGTGCCCATCCCTGTCACCCGGCAAGGGGGACTGACTCAGTGGTTCTGAGCCCTCGAAAGGAATTAGAATAGCCTCGGGGACGCGTGCAGCGGGTGGCTGAGCTGTGCACGTGGCCAGCAGCCGTCACGTAAATGTAGGCTGCAAGCCGAAGGGTCTGCCAGGACTCACGGACTGCACGTCTCCGGGCAGCACTGCCTTCCCCGCCGAGGCCAGACACTCACCGATGACCCCAAAGATGCCCAGGATGTTGGGGGCGAAGATGACCAGCAGGTTGACACACGTGAGCAGGCCAGTGGCGATGAGTATGTGCCGGAGCCAGCTGAACTCCTGGTCCTGGAACAGCATCTGCTGGATGGCGCGGCGCACCTGCGGGCGGGCGGAGGGGTGCTTCACCGTCAGCCTGCCAGCACCCTCGGCCGCACCCCGTTGCTCCAGCCCCCTGCCCGCGGGCTCACCGGGAACAGGACGATGGGCACCGTGAGCGTGACCGCCGTCAGCACGGCCACACGCACACACAGGATCAGCACGTCAAACGGATCCACCTGGCTGTAGGTGTGCAGCAGCTCCGACTCCACCCCGCCTGCGGCAGGGAGGTGACACTGCAGAGCGGCACACACTCCCCTCCCCGGCTGCAGGGCACCGTCAGTTGTGGCGCACCGGACCAGCGCTGAGTCCCTCTTGCCTTCCCCTCTGGTCCCCGCCCCCGCCTGGCCGTGGTGGCCTCTGCCCGCGGCCCGCCATACCGTAGAAGGTGAGGTAGCCGAAGAGCGCGTTTTGCCATAGGAGGCATGTGCTTGCTCAAGGAATATAGAAGGGAAAGTGAGAAATCACCCCCCAGGGGGATGGTTACACAGCAATTCCTTCTCTTCCATTCTCTTAGGATTTGGGGAATGCATGCACATATGCCTGGCATGATTTCAAGCCACTGGCTCCGGACTCAAACTGTGCAGCCA